CTCAGTAGTTGACTCCCACTACAAGAGAAGTCCACAGAAGCGCCAACTTCACCACCAGCTTCTATTCCAACTCCGACCTATAAATGCGCTCACCAGTGTCAGAATAACGAGCGAGAATGAATAAACTAGCAAACAGTTGGGTACAAGTACTAACCCTAATTGGGTTGTACCCCTCATTGGCTACCCCACTACAGCCTACACAAATGTATAAGCTATAATGTTCTGACACACCCCCATAGGCAAAGTGGGGGAGAACAAGTGGTCACAAGACCAGTCAAGAAAAGCAAAGCAAGCTCAGGGTGGATCACAAAGTCACCACACAGTCCGAGCACAAGCAAAGGGCCACAAGGCCAGTTCACATGCAGAGTTATATAAAGAGAAGAAACAAAACAGTGATCATACCCTAGCAAGTGCAAGCATGCAGGTATATACATAGATCACAGTACAAACAGAGTCAAGCAGTAAGCAAGTGAGGCAAAGTAGGCACAAGGCCTAACACAGTAACAAAGCGCTGATGATCACCAGGCGGAAGTGCCTTGGTGAAGACATCAGCAGTGTTGGCCCGAGTGGCCACGTACGCAAGACGAAGCTGGCCATGCTGCTGCAACTCTCGAGCAAGGAAGTATCGCAGAGCGATGTGCTTCGTTCTGTGCTCCAGTCTGTGCTCCTGACACAAGGAAATCATGGCCTTGTTGTCTACGTACAGAACTGGAGGCGAACGAGGCTGCTCTCCCAAGTCAGTCAGCTGGTAGGTGAGCCAGCGTAGCTCCTGAGCAGCCATGGCCCCGGTGTAGATCTCAGCCTCACAACTGGAGCTGAGAACCAAAGACGAGCGGGTAGACCGCCAAGAAACAGAGCCGGAACCAAGGCTGAAGGTGTAACCCTGTGACGACCGCTGCGTAGCTGAGTCGTCAACCCAGGAGGCGTCTGCGTAACCGGTGAGAACAACTGGACCCCGCCCTCCAAGCACGAGCCCCATGCCTGACGTACTGCACAAGTAACGTAGTACCCTCTTCGCAGCATCCCAGTGCACCTTTCGGTGCCTGCCGGGAGCCACATAGCGAGCCAGGAGGCTGAGAGGGTACGTGAGGTCGGGTCGAGTGCACGTCATCATGTACATGAGGCAACCCACGAGCTCTGGGTACGGACCACTCGGCTCTACGGACTTGTCCGAAGGTGGAGCTGAGAGCAAGTGGCTGGTAGACAGAGGAGTGGGCTGTGGCGAGGAGAACTGGAAGCCGAAGCGCTGAAGGACCTGGTGCACCATGTGTGACTGAGTCAGGGTAATGGTGCGCCGAGCTCTGTCCCGGGTGATCTGCAAGCCAAGATAGCTGCGTAGTTCACCCAGGTCAGTGCAGGTGTGTCTCTTCTGCAGCTCCGACTTCACAAGAGCTAGTGCCTCAGTGTCAGCAGTGGCAAAGACGAGGTCGTCGACGTAGACAAGGACGTAGAATGGCGGCAGCGAGGTGTCGGTGCGTAGAAACAGCGACGGGTCAGCAGTAGCAGGAGCAAACCCAAGAGCCGCAAGTGTAGTCCTCAGTGTGTCGTGCCACTCGCGAGGCGCCTGGCGGAGACCGTAGACTAGCCGGCGGAGGCTCCACTGGGTACCTGAAGGAAACATCCCAGTGAAGCCAGGTGGTCGGCGCAGCCAGATCTCCTCGTGCAGGTTGCCCTGCAAGAAAGCTGTGCTGAAGTCCAGAGAGTGCAACTCGTAGTCACGCTGAGCAGCGATGTGCAGCAACAGCCGAAGAGTAGTCATCTTCGGGGTGGGGGAGAAGGTCTGGAAGTAGTCAACCCCTTGTCGCTGGCTGAAGCCTCGAGCAACGTAACGCACCTTGAGGGCAGGCGGAGAACCCGGCGGTCGCTTCACCCTGAAAATCCACATACCATCAACAATGTTCGCCCCAAGTGGGGGAACCTCGTCGACGTAGGTGCCTGTGGACTTCCAGGGTGCCATCTCAGCATCCATGGCTGCCTGCCACTGAGAGGAGTAAGGACCCGTAATCGCCTCTGCGTAAGAGCGCGGGGTCGGGATGTCTGGTGCATCCGGGTCTCCCTCAGGGGCAAGCAGCATGGAAGCGAAACGAGGTACAGCAGCTGCAAGACACTCAAAGTCCTCCTGCCTGTCCTCAAGGACGTCCGTGCCAAGAGCACACTCACCCCCGACGGACGGAGGACTGGCAGACGCAGACTCATCAACAAGAGCAGTGGCGTAGTCTAGACGACAGGCAACAGCAAAGTCAAGCAGCTCAGCAACGAGAGCAGACGCAGCAGCAGACTCCAAAGAAGGGTTAGTAACAGCATTGGCAAGGAGACGAGAGACAGTGGGACTGGCAGCACGAGCGCGGTCAGACTCAGGGTCAGGAACCTCAGGACGAGAGGACTCAGGAGGAGCAGGCAGAGGAACACGCAGTGGAACAAAAGAAGGACGGAGTGCCTTAGCGTGCGTGCCAGGGACAGGAGGAGGACGCAAACGAGGAACGCGACGAGCAGTGCAAACAGGCGAGACAGGACGAGACGCAGGCTCACGACGCTCTATAAGACCGCCGGACTGCTCAGTGTAAGGAGAAGGGGCAGGCAGCGGGGAGGCTGACAGTAAAGGCGGCTGCGACTGGTCAGGTGGAGGACACATGAGGGGAGGAGTAAGGCTAATAGAACACGGGACACCAAGAACCTGCTGAAGCAGGGGAACGAAGTATGGTCGCGGCCGCACAGTGCCACCAGGGTCAACAGGTCCAGCTCCTCCAGCTCCAGCACCTCCAACACCAAGGCCTCCAACTCCAGCGCCTCCTGCGCCAGGGCCACCAACTCCAGCTCCTCCAGCTCCAGCGCCACCAGCGTCAGTAGTACCAGACTCCGCAAGGTCTCCAGCTCCAGTACCCTCAACACCACCAGTCCTGGCAGCTCCAGTACCGCGGGTACGAGCACCTCCAGGCCCAGTGATCGCAGTACCTCCAGTAACACTAGCTACGGCAGCAACTCCAGCACCTCCAGCTCCAGAATCTCCACTCCGAAGGCGCGTACGCCGAACAAACCACTCACGCAACTGCTGCGGAGACAGGCTCGGCGAAGCACCAGCAGAACCTCCAGACGAAGCAGCACCCTGAGGCTCCGCACCTCCAGACTCCGCACCCTCCGACGCAGCACCCCCAGGCTCAAAATCCTCAGGCTCAGCAACCCCACGCTCACCACCCCCAGTCGCAACACCCCCAGGCTCAGCACCCCCAGTCTCAGCAACGTCTGACTCCGCACCCCCAGGCTCCACACCCCCAGACGCAGCACCCCCAGACGCAGCATGTCGAGCAGCACCCGAGTCGACAGCTACCTGAACAGGCGCAGGACCAGAGAGAGGGTCTACCTGAGACACACCTGAGGGAGCAGAACCCTGGGGCGGGAGGGGGTCTACCGGAGGGGGACCGGGAGCAAGGAAGAGCGGCGGGGGCGGGGGAGGGGCAGAGCGGTAGGGGAAGAGACGGTAAAAGGGAACCGACTCGTTAAACGTGAGGTCCTGAGACGGGAAGACACGGTGCGAGGTGGGGTGGTAAAACTGCCAGCCAGGCGCGTCGGGGACAAAGCCAAGGAAGACGCAGGGGATAGCACGGGGGGAGAGCTTGTCCACTGACGTATCGCGAACAAAGGCACGTGATCCCTAGACCCGGAACACCCACGCATCGCCAACCTCCCCCGTCCAACGCAGTGTGGGCGAGGTCTTTGGCAAGGAGACACGGGGCCAGAGGTTGAGCTGATGTGCAGCGTACTGGACCGCAAACTGCCACAGAAAATGGGGAGCAGCTGCATGGATCATGGAGGTACAAGCGACCTCCATGACTAAGCCAATGCGGCGCTCAGAAATCCCATTTTGCTGAGGGGAGTCCGGAAGCGTGAACGACTGGAGAATGCCCTCCCCACGACAAAAGTCCCGCAAGAGGTTGGAGGAGAACTCACCACCTCTGTCAGAGTGCAGGCGCAGGATAGGAAGGTCCTGGCTGAACCGCTCGCGGAGCTGGAGACGGACTGTGCGGATCCAAGGGATCAAGACATCAACGACCTGACCCTTGCTGCGCAAGGGGAAGACCGTGGTGTACCGCGTGTAGTCGTCAACTATCAGCAGAAAGTAGCGCTCGCGGCTCTGTCCGATGACGCGGGCTGGGCCCCACACGTCCATGTGGAGAGTCTGCAAGGGAGCAGTCGTCAGGGGGAACAAGGAGGAGTGAGGAGCGGCGCGCTGCCGCCCCTCGACGCAAGGGAGGCAGGGCGGGGCAGGCGAGGGCGGCAGGGGAGGCAGAGACCTGGGGAGACCAGAGACAAGAAGACGAGAGTGCATGTCACGAAGGCGAGGCAGGGAGGGGTGACCCAGGCGGTGGTGCCACAAAAGAGTCTGGTGCGACAGGAGGCGACACGAGCAAGAGGTGGCTACCTGACCTGACGCAGACACCTGAGCAGACGCAGCTACCTGAGAAGGCTCGGTAGTGAGTGTGTACAGACTCGACCCTGGCCGACGAGTGAACGTGGCCAGTTGGCGGCCCGTCCGTGTACACGTGCAGATCGACACACGCTGACCCCCAGGAGTGGTGGTAGTGACCATCGCATCCTGGAGGGCAGCGGTACTCACCAAGTTCGTAGAGAACGAGGGGAGGTGAAGACCTGACAGTGAGCCGGACGGAACCGCCGGACACGGGAGGACAGTGGAGGAACGGGCCACGACCGGTCCCCCGGAGGGGTCAGCCAGTCTGACCGGGACAGGTGCATGAAGAGGAGTGAGGGTGGTGCTGTCACGAAAGAAACAGCGCGAGGCGCCTGAGTCCAACGTGAAGGTGTGCAAGGCCTCAGCAGGCGCAGTACTAGGGAGAGTACCAGACTCACTAGCACCTAGAGCAGCAGCAGCTACACCTGGGTCAGGCAGCACACACCGGTAACAGTCACCCTTAGCACTAACAAACAAAGCATACATAGCAGAGAGAATAGCATCAAAGTCTAGGTCAAAGATAGCAATCCTAGACTTAAGCAGATCTGCCCAACGAGGGAGCTCGACGTCGTCACCAAACTCAGCACGCCAAGCGTTGTCGAGGCAGGAGAATCAGCAGTGCTGAGTGTGGAGCCTCCCGCAAGTCTGACCAGCACGGTCACCCGTGCGAATGACATACGGGCAACTACCCCCAAACGCCCCACGCAGAAACCACTCATGAAGCTGCTGGGGAGACGGGGTCTCGCCCCGACGCTTCTGCTGCTGACGCTGGCCACCCCTAGAACCGACACGCTGAGCTCCAGTCCCACCGCCTCCACTGCCGCCACTCCCACCGGTGCCTCCACCACCGCCACCAGAGCCGCCACTCCCACCAACAGTCCCACCGCCGCCACTACCTCCACTGCTGCCCCCACCACCACTACCGCTGCCACCTCCACCACCGCCGCTGCCACCACCACCACCCCGGCCACCCTTGCCCTTGCTGCTGCGGCGCTTCGCACTAGCAAAAGCAGCCCCGACGTCCTCAGGAACAGAGACGTCTGCAGCAGCAGCAGAGGCGTAGGAGGGAGCAAGGGGGGAGGGGGAACACCCCTCAAAGAAGGGCGGGCGCGGAGTGCCACGAGCAGCACCTACAGCAACAGCACTAGTCTCAGCTGCGAGGAGATGCTGCTCGAGGAGGTCAACAGTGAGGGAGGTGGGGTCAAGAGAGAGGAAGTGGTCCCTGTCAGAGTGAAGAGAGTCAGGGAGGCGGGTGACTATAAAGTAGAGAGTGATGTACATCGGGGGCGGGTTCCTGTCAAGGAACTCAGCAGGAACGGCAGCGCGGTAGCGAGCCTCACTAGCGCAAAGGTGGGAAACTAGGTCCTCGACTGTAGCGCAAAGGTGGGAAACTGAACCGGTCTGCCCTCATGATCAAACGCGAGAACCCAAAGTGAAGCCATAGCTATGCAGCACGCAGGATAGCAGTAGCAGCAGTAGCAGCAGCAGCAGCAGCAGCTGTAGCAGTAGCAGCAGTGACGGGGCTGGGCGCGGGCTAGGGACGGGGCCGGGCGCTGGGCTAGGGACGGGGCCGGGCGCTGGGCAGATACGGGGCCGGGCGCTGGGCTTGGGACGGGGCCGGGCGCTGGCCAGGTACGTGGCCGGGCGCTGGGCGCGGAACGGGGCCGGGCGCGGGTTAGGGACGAGGCCGGGCGCGGGCTAGGTACGGGGCTGGGCGCTGGGCTAGGGACGGGGCCGGGCGCGGGGCTAGGTATGGGGCCGTGCGTGGGGCTAGGTACGGGGCCGGGCGCAGGCTAGGTACGGGGCTTGGCGCTGGGCTAGGGACGGGGCCGGGCGCTGGGCAGGTACGGGGCCGGGCGCTGGGCGCGGAACGGGGCCGGGCGCGGGGATAGTTACGGGGCCGGGTGCGGGCTAGGTACGGGGCCGGGCGCTGGGCTAGGGACGGGGCCGGGCGCTGGGCAGGTACGGGGCCGGTTGCTGGGCGCGGAACGGGGCCGGGCGCGGGGCTAGGTATGGGACCGGGCGCGGGCTAGGTACTGGGCCGGGCGCGGGCTAGGTACGGGGCCGTACGCGGGCTAGGTACCGGGCCGGGCGCGGGCTAGGTACGGGGCCGGGCGCGGGCTAGGGACGGGGCCGGGCACGGGCTAGGTACGGGGCCGTGCGTGGGCTAGGAACGGGGCCGGGCGCGGGCTAGGTACGGGGCCGGGCGCGGGCTAGGTACGGGGCCGGGCGCGGGGCTAAGGGGCCGTGCGCGGGGCTAGGGACGGGGCCGGGCGCTGGGGTCGACGGGCCGCGGGCTAGGTATGGGGCCGGGCGCGGGCTAGGTACGGGGCCGGGCGCGGGGCTAAGGGGACGTGCGCGGGGCTAGGGACGGGGCCGGGTGCGGGGCTAAGGGCCGATGGGGCTGGGCGCGGGCTAGGGACGGGGCCGGGCGCGTAGGCTAGGGTCGACGGGCCAAGGAGCGACGGGCCTAGGGGGGGGTACTAGCAGCGTAGCAGGTGGTGGGCCCAAGGAACCTGCTCTGCTTCCATGTCAGAATAACGAACGGGAATGAATGAACTAGCAAACAGTTGGGTACAAGTACTAACCCTAATTGGGTTGTACCCCTTATGGGCTACCCCACTACAGCCTACACAAATGTATAAGCTTTAATGTTCTAACAACCAGGACACCGTGCGAGCGAATCACCGTAGCACGAAAGATTGGGTCACCCAAGCAACACAACGTTAAACAGTACAATCAGGGCAGGAGTACTCGACAAAGACTCCCTACTTCTAACTGACAGCAGAGAACTTCAACGAGTCCGAGGTACATGTTTTACCTGCCCCGAAGCCGACCTACCTCATCGACCGTTTGTTTCTCACCACAATCTTAACGCGCCAGTTTACGCACCATTGGAGAAAGTCTACAGCGACATCTTGTATGCCCGCGAACACGGACAGGGAGCATACAACTACGCCATCACTTTTATCGATGCCGCTACCCGATACGTCTGGCATCTCAACCTTCCAAGTCGCGACATGGCCTTCAAAGCCTTCGTCGCCTAGCTACGTGTGGCATAACGAGAATCGGGAGTGAAGCTGAAAATCTTCTAGTCAGACGGGGGAGGAGAATATCAGTCACAAAGATTCAAGCAATACCTAGCAGAACGAGGCATCAAGCGACTCATCTCGCTTCCCTACGCCCATCATCAGCAAGGTGTGGCAGAACGGATGAACAGAACCCTCCAGAACACCATGCGCAAACTGTTACGCGGCATGCGACTGCCCAACCACGAGTGGCCCGAGGCGATGGACCACGCAGTCATGCTGCACAACTTGCTTTCTGTCAGAATGTATTTGCTGTTTAGCCTGCAGTGGGGTACTCTGTAGTGAGTACAACCCAATTTAGGGTTTGCTATTTGTATCCCAACTTCCTATAGTGAAACCATCTCTTTCTCGATTCTCCCTTGCACAATCTCTCTCGACACTCAACTCTCTCGACACTCACTAGCCATGGCTCCTAAGTCTAGCTACTATTCCAACATGGTATTAAGAGCAATAAGTTCTAGGACCTAACATCAATGGGCCCACCACCTAATGCCCTGCTAGCCTAGGCCCCGGCCCGTCGCCACTTGGCGTAGCCCCTAGCCCCTAGGCTCGGCCCCTTGGCCCCGTCGCCCCTAGCTGTGACACTCGGCCCCGTTGGCCCCGTCGCCCCTAGCCGCGCCCCTCGGCCCCGCTGGCCCCGTCGACTCCGTCGCCCCGCGCCCGGCCCGTACTTAGCCCGCGATCGGCCCGTACCTAGCCCGCGCTCGGCCCCGTTCCTAGCCCCGCGCCCGGCCCGTACCTCGCCCGCGCTTGGCCCCGTGCCTAGCCCGCGATCGGCCCGTACCTAGCCTCGCGCCCGGCCCCGTACCTAGCCCGCGCCTGGCCTCGTACCTAGCCCGCGATCGGCCCGTACCTAGCCTCGCGCCTGGCCTCCGTTCCGCGCCCAACGCCCGGCCCGTACCTAGCCTCGCGACCGGCCCGTACCCTGCCCACGCTCGGCCCCGTTCCTAGCCCCGCGCCCGGCCCATACCTAGCCTCGCGACCGGCCCGTACCCTGCCCGCGCCCGGCCCCGTCTCTCGCCCGCGCTCGGCCCGTACCTAGCCCCGCGCCCGGCCCGTACCTAGCCCAGCGCATGGCCCCGACCCTAGCCAGCGCCCGGCCCCGTACCTAGCCAGCGCCTGACCCTGTACCTCGCCCGCGCCCGGCCACGTACCCTGCCCGCGCCCGGCCCCGTCTCTCGCCCGCGCTCGGCCCGTACCTGGCCCCGCGCCCAGCCCGTACCTAGCCCAGTGCACGGCCCCGACCCTAGCCAGCGCCCGGCCCCGTACCTAGCCCTCACCCGGCCCCGTACCTGCCCAGCGCCCGGCCCCGTACCTGCCCAGCACCCGGCCCCGTCCCTAGCCCAGCGCCCGGCCCCGTACCTAGCCGCGCCCCTCGGCCCCACTGGCCTCGTCGCCCCTAGCTATGGCAAGAGGGGTGATGACTTCCTGCCCGCGTGCCCTGCAGTCGCACGCGCAGCTCCGCCCCCGCCCCCCTCCCCCCCCTCCCCCTCCTCCATGGGGACGGGGGGGAGAGGGTGTGAGGGGGTGGCGGATGTGCCTCAGCAGGAGCAGCTGCCGCCGCGCCTCCTCTTCTATCTCTCCCTGCCGCACCTTGTGTTGGGAGAGGGGGGGGAGCTTGGAGGTTCAGAGGGAGGCAGGAGGGGATCTGCAGCACCAGCCCCCCCCGCCCCCCCCCTTTTCTCCTCCACCCCTGCTGCGGGTGCAGCAGTGGGGGGGAGGGGATCTGCAGCAGCAGTGGGGGGAGGGGATTTGCAGCATCAGCCCCCCCCCCCTCCCCCCCGCCCTTTTCTCCTCTCTCTCTCCCTGCCGCACCCTGTGTTGGGAGGGGGGGGGAGCTTGGAGGTTCAGAGGGAGGCAGGAGGGGATCTGCAGCACCAGCCCCCCCCGCCCCCCCCTTTCTCCTCCACCCCTGCTGCGGGTGCAGCAGTGGGGGGAAGGGGATCTGCAGCAGCAGTGGGGGGAGGGGATTTGCAGCATCAGCCCCCCCCCCCCCGCCCTTTTCTCCTCTCTCTCTCCCTGCCGCACCCTGTGTTGGGAGCTTGGAGGTTCAGAGGGAGGCAGGAGGGGATCTGCAGCACCAGCCCCCCCCGCCCCCCCCTTTCTCCTCCACCCCTGCTGCGGGTGCAGCAGTGGGGGGAAGGGGATCTGCAGCAGCAGTGGGGGGAGGGGATTTGCAGCATCAGCCCCCCCCCCCCCGCCCTTTTCTCCTCACTCTCTCCCTGCCGCACCCTGTGTTGGGAAGGGGGGGGAGCTTGGAGGTTCAGGGGGAGGCAGGAGGGGATCTGCAGCACCAGCCCCCCCCGCCCCCCCCTTTCTCCTCCACCCCTGCTGCGGGTGCAGCAGTGGGGGGGAGGGGATCTGCAGCAGCAGTGGGGGGAGGGGATTTGCAGCATCAGCCCCCCCCCCCCCCCCCCCCCCCTTTCTCCTCTCTCTCTCCCTGCCGCACCCTGTGTTGGGGAGGGGGGGGAGCTTGGAGGTTCAGAGGGAGGCAGGAGGGGATCTGCAGCACCAGCCCCCCCCCGCCCCCCCCCCTTTCTCCTCCACCCCTGCTGCGGGTGCAGCAGTGGGGGGAGGGGATCTGCAGCAGCAGTGGGGGGAGGGGATTTGCAGCATCAGCCCCCCCCCCCCCCCCGCCCTTTTCTCCTCTCTCTCTCCCTGCCGCACCCTGTGTTGGGAGCTTGGAGGTTCAGAGGGAGGCAGGAGGGGATCTGCAGCACCAGCCCCCCCCGCCCCCCCCCCCTTTCTCCTCCACCCCTGCTGCGGGTGCAGCAGTGGGGGGAGGGGATCTGCAGCAGCAGTGGGGGGAGGGGATTTGCAGCATCAGCCCCCCCCCCCCCGCCCTTTTCTCCTCTCTCTCTCCCTGCCGCACCCTGTGTTGGGAGCTTGGAGGTTCAGAGGGAGGCAGGAGGGGATCTGCAGCATCAGCCCCCCCCCCCCCCCCCTTCCCAGCCCACTTCTCCTCCATCCCCCTGCTGCAGGTGCAGCGGTGGGGGGGAGGGGATCTGCAGCCCTGTGCTGCCCTGCAGCCCTGCGCGACCTGCTGTCCTGCTGCCCTGCGCGCCCTGCGCGCACTGCAGCCCTGCGCGCCCCGCGCGCCCTGCTGCCCTGCAGCCCTGTGCGCCCTGCTGCCCTGCAGCCCTGTGCGCCCTGCTGCCCTGTTTGCCCCTTGCGCCCTGCTGTCCTGCTGCCCTGCGCGCCATGCGCGCCCCGCGCGCCCTGCTGCCCTGCAGCCCTGTGCGCCCTGCTGCCCTGCTGCTGCCGCTACAGCCCTTGCTGTTGCCGCTACAGCCCTTGCTGCTGCCCTGCGCGCCCTGCAGCCCTGCTGCGCCCCGCGCGCCCTGCTGCCCTGTGCGCCCCGCGCGTCCTGCAGCCCTGCGCGCCCTGCGCGCCCTGCTGTCCTGCTGCCCTGCGCGCCCTGCGCGCACTGCAGCCCTGCGCGCCCCGCGCGCCCTGCTGCCCTGCAGCCCTGTGCGCCCTGCTGCCCTGTTTGCCCCGCGCGCCCTGCTGCCCTGCAGCCCTGTGCGCCCTGCTGCCCTGCTGCCCTGTGCGTCCCGCGCGCCCTGCAGCCCTGTGCGCCCCGCGCGCCCTGCAGCCCTGCGCGCCCCGCGCGCCCTGCTGCTCTGCAGCCCTGTGCGCCCTGCGCGCCCTGCAGCCCTGTGCGCCCCGCTGCCCTGCAGCCCTGTGCGCCCTGCTGCCCTGCTGCCCTGTGCGCCCCGCGCGCCCTGCAGCCCTGTGCGCCCTGCGCGCCCTGCTGCCCTGCTGCCCTGTGCGCCCTGCTGCCCTGTGCGCCCCGTGCGCCCTGCGCGCCCTGCTGCCCTGCTGCCCTGTGCGCCCTGCTGCCCTGTGCCCCCCCCCCCCTTTCTCCTCCATCCCCTGCTGCAGGTGCAGCAGTGGGGGGAGGGTATGGGGGTGGCGGGTGTGTGAACCGTCCCCTGCTCCTCCTCCTCCTCCGTCTCCCACTGCTGCAGCTGCCGCTGAGGAGGGTGGGTGTGTGGGAGCCGAGGGAGTGGTGCTAGGGGGGTGACGTGGGAGTGGAGCTAGGGGTGCAGCAAGGGGTGTGTGAAAGGGGGGTGGGACAGTTGGGGGAGGTTGAGCGGAGGCTGCCGTCTTGTCGTCCTCAGCACCTGTAGTCCGGGGCTCTACTTCTGGTAGCTCAGAGAGCCTGCTGCGCCTGTCGCCTGTGGGTCCGTTGCTCCTGCCGCTCAGAGTTAGCCGCAGAGCCAGTTACTCCTGTAGTCCGGGGATACGGCCCCGGTAGCCACTGTGCGCGCCGCTCCTGTTGCCCGTGTGTCTGCAGCATCAGCCGTCGCCTCCTATCTCCTCTCCTCTCACGGTCCAGCCTCCTCCTCCTCACTTGCCCTTTATGAATGCCTCTAGCTTTGCTTGTACTTGTGAACCTGCTCTATGACTGCTTGCTCTGCTGATTATACCCCACTTTGACTATGGGGGTGTGTCAGAATGTATTTGCTGTTTAGCCTGCAGTGGGGTACTCTGTAGTGAGTACAACCCAATTTAGGGTTTGCTATTTGTATCCCAACTTCCTATAGTGAAACCATCTCTTTCTCGATTCTCCCTTGCACAATCTCTCTCGACACTCAACTCTCTCGACACTCACTAGCCATGGCTCCTAAGTCTAGCTACTATTCCAACACTTTCGTCATCATCGCTCCCGAACAACGCATCACCGCACCTGCTGTGGACAGGAAAAACTGGGCAACACAAAAATGTTACGAGTATTCGGCTGCATGGTACAGTACCGACCCCCAACTGCACGAGCCGGCCGATTCTCCCAACGTCCACAATGGGGACTACACCTGGGCATCGAAAAACACTACAACGCATGGAAGATTTTCGACATTCACACAAAGGAAACAGTAGCAGCACGTGATGTCATTTTCTTCGAGCGACTCACACTTCAAACGTACCCGGACAACCTGGCAGCAGATCGAGACCTCACGGGCGGCTTCCGTGGCAACCGAGCCTTCGCCACACCAGCCGACGAAGCTAACTGGGACGAGCAAAACATGGACGGCGCATTCGAGGAAGCCGGACCTCTTCCGTACTGCTCAGTAGACATTCCCATGGACGATGACAACCCTCGCAAAAGTGTCAGCGCCGAAGTCTACTACGACTTCGTCGACAACGGTTACGTTACACCCCAACCTGTCGACACCAACGTCTCCTAACGCATAGGGCCCAACTTCTTACCTGATCCAGAAGCAGGAGATGAAGCAGCTTATCCCAAGGATGCAAATCTCCCCCGCTACATACAGAGTGGGCTGTAGATACTGGGACTCGTCACCGCTATCCACGGAGCAGCACCACCTAAGGAACCTGCCACTCTTCAGCAAGCTTTGGGGGGGGAACACAGGGAAGAATGGCGCGAAGCCATGGACAAAGAATTCAAGGCGCTGCAAGAACGCAACACCTGGAAAGTCGTGCCTATTGGAGTGGCACGCAACAAGACCATTCTCACGGGAAAATGGGTTTTCCGCGTGAAAACGAAAGCTGGCGGAACGATAGACAAATTCAAAGCACGCTACGTCGTGCGCGGCTTCGACCAAGAGCACGGACGAGACTTCACGGAAACATTCGCACCAGTTGGCCGACACACCTCACTGCGGATTCTCCTCGCGATAGCCAAATCGACGTCACCAACGCCTTTCTATATGCTCCCGTCGACGCTGAGATCTTTGTCGAACAACCACACGGATCTAACGCAGACCCCAATCAAGTCTGTCAGCTGGAAAAATCACTGTACGTCATCAAGCAAGCCCCGAGACTGTGGCAGCAGTACCTTCACGCCCGACTAACCCGCATCGGATTCTGTCAACTTCCGCACGACCAAGGGATGTATCGTCTCACGAAGGATACCGACTACATCTTACTCATAATCTATGTGGAATTCCGGCTTTACATCGGCTCTACCGACGTCGTCACGACCTGGTTCGAAGGGGGGCTACAGCGGGACCTTACACTCACCGTCTCTTCTACCGTGACACAATACCTATGACTCAACATACAAGACGGGGAAAACGCAATCTACCTCAGCGCCGCGAAATACTCTGACACCATCGCCAAACGCTTCAGACTAACTCCGGCTACCATCACCACGCCATATCGTTACACCGACGGAAATCGCTAGGAAGCCTCCGCCCTATTCAAGCCCGCCGGCATTCGCGACTACCAACGAAAGCTAGGTTGTCTACTCTTTGCAGCCATTACCTGCCGACCAGATCTATCTTACTCACCTAGTCAACTCGCCACCCATCTCAAAATTCCTGAAGCATATCACATGGCGGAGCTTGACCGTGCACTTCACTACCTCGTCAGCACCCCGACGATCGGCCCAACCTACCACAAAACTGGAACTACGACGCCCAAGTTAATCGGTTATGTGGATGCTGACCACGTCGGCGACCCAGACAACAGACGATCACGCACCGGCTACATCTACCGACTCGAAACTATCGGCCCTATCTCATGGTAGACGAGAAAACAAGAGCTAATTGCTCTCTCCTCAGCTGAAGTAGAATATATCGCACTCTGCTCAGCCACCAAGGAAGGATTGTACCTTCGCGAACTACTGGAAGAAGCAAAGCTGGCTAAGTTACCCAGCTTCTCCCTTTTCTGCGACAACCAATCGGCCATTCGCATAGCGAACAAGAATGGGTTCGCGAATCGAACGAAGCACATCGCCCTCCGGTACTTCTTCGTAAAAGACGAAATCGAGAAGGGGGGACTCGAGTTATCCTACTGTCCCACATCCGAGATGGCAGCCGATTACTTTGACCAAGAAGCTCGGAAAGCAGAAGTTCGAGTATTGCATGCTGCTGACTGGACAAGGCCACGTCATAAGCAGCGACACTCCAGAAGCGAAGGGAAGTGTTGGAAACAAGCAATTTTGTTGGGCTGAGAAAAGCCCTTAGGAACTTTCAGGACTAAGATCGGGTGTTGACGTAGAGATGTAATAGCGGAAGCGTTTAATGAAGAATTACTTGAACCACCTTGTACTGGTGTGTGAGAACAAGATAAGTTGATAATAGCAGAGAAGTACAAGGCTTTTATATGATTACAAAGGAATATGGAAAGTTCTATTTTAACTGTTTTTGCTGTTGCGGTTCGATACAGTGCCGACTCGGGTAACTGCTCTGTAACGAGTCAGTTATGTGTCTTTGCTGTCGCACTGTACGTTTCGTCAGGTCCAAGGTCGGAGACCTTTGACCTTCGCATGACCTCCGACGGTTGCCTTGGTTGACTCGAGTGCTTCTTCGCTGTAGTCAGTTCCATTTTGTGTCGAAGCTTCGATACGACAGAAGCGTTATCAATCACTTGTTTCCAACACTCCCCTTCGCTTCTGGAGGATCGTTGCTGATGACGTGTCCTTGTCCAGTCAGCAGCATGCACTACTCGAACTTCTGTTTTCCGAGTTTCTTGGTCAAGTAGTCAGCTGCCATCTCGGATGTGGGACAGTAGGATAGTTCGAGTCTTCCCTTTTCGATCTCGTCTTTCACGAAGAAGTACCGAAGGGCGATGTGCTTCGTTCGATTCGTGAACCCGTTTCTGTTCGCTATGTGAATGGCCGATTGGTTGTCGCAGAAGAGAGAGAAATTGGGTAACTGGGCCAATTTTGCTTCCTCCAGTAGTTCGCGAAGATATAGCCCTTCCTTGGTTGCTGAGCAGAGTGCGATATATTCTGCTTCTGATGACGAGAGAGCAATTAGCTCTTGCTTGTTCGACTGCCATGCGATAGGCCCGATAGGTTCGAGTCTGTAGACGTAGCCGGTTCTAGACCGTCTGTTGTCGGAGTCTCCAGCGTGATCGGCGTCAACATTGTTAGAATCCCAACCACTAGACCATTGGGATAAAAGGGCTTGTTAAGTAGCGGGTCAGTGCGCCCATAACCCCCCAGGACAACGAGCCTATAACCCTTCCCTAGGATCAATCGGGGATCACCAGTGGACCTCTGACACCCCCCCGCACTGAGATGCCCGAAGTGCACACACTGGGATTCGAACCCGAGACCTTCGCTCTGATACCATGTCAGAATCCCAACCACTAGACGATTGGGATAAAAGGGCTTGTTAAGTAGCGGGTCAGTGCGCCCATAACACCCCAGGACAACGAGCCTGTAACCCTTCCCTAGGATCAATCGGGGATCACCAGTGGACCTCTGACAGACATAACCGATTAGCTTAGGTGTTGCAGTGCTGTTCTTGTGGTAGGTGAGGCCGATTGTCAGAGTGCTGACGAGATAGTGAAGCGCTCGGTCGAGTTCGAGCATGTGCTCTGCTTCAGGTTTCTTGAGGTAGGTAGCAAGTTGACTAGCTGAGTAGGATAGATCCGGTAGACAGGTGACGGCTGTGAAGAGTAGGCAGCCTAGTTTCCTTTGGTAGTCGCGGACGCCAGCAGGTTTGAGTAGGGCTGAGCCTTTTCGATTTCCGTCGGTGTAGCGGTATGGTGTGGAGATAGCCGTTGGGATGAGTCCGAAGCGTTTAGCAATAGTATCTGTGTATTTAGCAGCGCTGAGGTAGATGGCATTGTCGCCGTCTTCGATGTTCAGTCCTAGGTACTGTGTCACGGTGGTTGCGACGGTGAGAGTTAGATCTCCCTGCAGCTCCCCTTCAAACCACGTCGTTACAGCGTCGGTGGAGCCTATGTAGAGAAGATCATCGACGTAGACGATAAGTAGAATGTAGTCGGTGCCTTTTGTCAGTCGATACATCCCTTGGTCGTGTGGTAGCTGAAGAAATCCGATGCGAATTAGGCGAGTGTGAAGGTGCTGCTGCCACAGTCTCGAAGCCTGCTTGATCCAGTTGACAAATTTGGTTTGGGCCTGCGTTGGACCCGTGTGGGAGTTCGACGAAGATCTCAGCGTCGACGGGGGCGTAGAGGAAGGCGTTGGCGACATCGATTTGTCGGAGCTTCTTCCGGTTCATGGCGGCGATTGCGAGGAGAATTCGCAGTGAGGTATGTCG